CTAGAGACACCATTGGAGACTCTTCATCAACAAGGAGCAGATTTTAACCATGGAATTAGCCCTTGAGGGTTGGAGCATCATCACCATGAGTGGCTAGACATCCTCTTGGGGCTAGAGTTAGCCCCAAGCATGCTTTCTATATCTTAATCTTGTGCATTATTGAGGGATTAGTGTTGTAATTGATGTTTTGACACTTTGATATATATAGATCTTGTTTATTCAATGATTTATGTGGTTTAATGCTTCCAATTGGTCATTTCATTCTATCCATATGTCTAAGTATGCTAGAATAGATGTTCATGTGCTTATCTCTAGATTTTGTGTTATTAATGCATGTCTATGTGTATTGATGCTATAAATTTGGAGATTGTCAAAACATTGTGCTTAAAAAAATGCTTTTGTGATTCTCTTAATGGTTCATGCTTATCTCTTGATGGATTGTGCCTCTCCCCTAGTTTATTTTCATGCTAGTAGTGTAGATGTAGTGTAGTTGTAGTGTAGTGTTAAATGGGAGGACAATCTATGCTTGTTGTTTGATGATGCAAGCTTTTGAATGCAATTAGCATATGTCTCTATCCTTGTGTTGTATTTGGATTGTGACCTGAATGAAAGGATTAATGACTTGTTTTGATTTATTGTGCCTTTCACATGTTATTTAAACAATATATGTTTCATTGCTTAGATATATTATGCCTTTCACATGATGTTTAGATAATACATGCTTAACTAGTCATCCTTGCTTATTGAATCAACCAAATACACACACACCAATATTGCAACCCACTATTTGCCCTCATTAATCACTTGTCAATGATATAAAAATGCATTGCTTGGTGGTGATCTCTAAACCCTAAGATCTCTCTCTCTCTCTTACTTACTCTTAATTGCACTCTTTTGCTATTACTTAATTTAATTTAGTTGCTCTTTAATCAACCAACCAACCAATTGTTTGATCACTCGACCTACTAGCCCTAATTGTGATTCCACGACATTGCTCGATCCTCACAGTCCATTGGGACGATCCCTACTCACTCTTGCTACGTTAGTAGTAGTGTTAGTAGTGATTTTTATAAATTTAAATTTGACCCAAAAGGCTTTTCTTGAACCGCACATTCACTACATCAATTTGGCGTGTAGGAGCGGCCATTAACTCGTCACAAATAATTTGTTCAATTACATGGTTGAAATCATGACAAAATAATAATAATAATAATAATAAAAGTAAATTAATAATAATAAGTCATATTGTTTAGATGTGCTATATTATGTTGTCAAGCAGCGTTGAAAGATAAATTTTCTAACAATTGGGTTTCTCCTAACTTAGCTTTGTGTTTGAAAGAATGAGAAAACTTGCTTGATGGAGAGAGAGGGGAGAGAAATAAATAAATAAATAATTTGAATAACAATCTTTTAAGTGGTAATTTAGTCCAAAAAATTCTCTCAGACAACCACTTAAATGGACATCAGTGAAAAACAATCCATTGGGATAGTTGAGAGGATTTTTTTGCCAAAAATATCCATAAGGGGGATTTTTCGCAACTGGGTAATAGTAAAGGAGTTTTTTTCGCAATTAGCCCAAGATTTTATTATTGCAGATTCGGCTTGAAGATTTTATTATTGCAGGTCGTTGGGATGATTCAAAATTTGTAATCCAACTGTGTTCTGGTCCAGTTTAGTGTGGAACGGTGGAAGACCCAAATGGTGTGTACATTCATTTTTGGTGCTTCATCATGCTATTAACACCAGTTGTTACATTCAACAAAGAGGGATTCCTACAGTTTGTAGATGTAATTTATGCTACAAACATATTGAGGACGTGGATCATATCTTTTGCAGATGCGATTTTGCCGGGCAGGTATGGTGGAGCTTATTCTCTACATGACAATGGACTTTTCAGAAGCATAATTCAGTTCATAAAATTGCTTGGACTTTCACTCAATAGTGCTTAGAGAAAACAATCAAAAATAAGATGATGTTCACAGCAACTCTATATGCTATTTGGAGAGAGCGGAATGACAGAATTTTCTATAACAAATCCAAAGTGCCTATGGATGCGGCTATAGGAATTACAAATAGTAGCGTTTCGAATTAAGAAAATAACTTCTTTGCATGCGAAAGTAAAACTACAATAGCAAGAGTCTCATGCATCAGACTAGCCAAATTAATAGTTAATTGTGTAAATATGCTATAGATCCTTGTCCAACATAGCTTAAAAATTAAAAGATGATCTAGTTACAAATAATTGTGTGTAATGTGTAGAGAGAAAGTAAATAATTGGATCTAACTTAATTAATCTGATCTATTCACTACAATGTTTTACCAACATTAAAATAGCAAATCAGTAAACATCCAGATTCTATTTCAAAGAAAATAAGGCATCAGTTGAAGAAACTATTAGCATAAGTTCAACATCCATATAATTGAAGCCTATCCAATAACAAAAACACATTGACTTCCCACACTGACCACTAGACATGATTCTTGTCCAGACAACAGCTACAACAAGAAGAGTACAATTGAGAGTTTCACCAAAATATATATATTAGTAGGATGTGTAGGATAAATTTGTCAACATCATGACCTCATTCATTATAAAACTAGAAGCATGTACGTGAATGGAGAGAAAAAAAGTTCACTGAGGTAGCATGGCTAGGCCATCGGTGCTCTCAACGCCAACTTCGAGCACACATCATGGCATTTATTACAGCTTGACGAGAGGAAACAAGACGTACTTTTCTATCCTCCGTATATGCATCAGATGAAGTAAGAACAGATATTGGAATCCCCAAAAGAACGTGAGCCATCCCTGAGAGCGTGGGATACTTTGGACTTGCAGCTCTCCACCAACGCAAAATGTCAAATTCTGGCACCAAGGTAAGACAGGTTCCTCCAAATACCAATCCAACTCTGACTTAGGAGACCCCTTGGTAGATTGGACAAACAAATAGAAGCCTTGTATATGACTAGAAACATCACTTGCATTGCTACATCTTCCCTCAACACGACTAGGAACTTCCTCCTTTCTTTTTTTGGTTAGAGGACACTCTGTTTCAGAATCAGAAATCTCCTTTTCAGCATCGAAACTTGAATCACACTCGTAGTCCTCTTCAATTAAGGTTACATAATCATCAAAAAAGCTATGACAATCGGAAGCTGAATCACACTCAGAGTCCTCTTTTTTAATCAGTAACGTTGTATAATCGTCGTAAATGCTATGAATGGCTTCCAAAACAGTTGACACTTGTGAGTTACCGTCACCATCTTTGAGTTCCAAGGATAAATATTCAATGTACTTCATCTTACATTGTGGATCCATTACCGTTGCAACTGCCAACACCAAAAACATATCTTTCCAGTACGTATTCAACTTCTAAAGCATTTTCTCAACAACAGAACTAATAAAACCATCTGAATTTGAGGCCTCTTGAATCAAACTTACTTGAAGTTCTCGAAGATTACTAAGAACGATGCTAGCAGTTGGATATTTTGTTTCAAATAACAACTTTGCTATATCATGTATTTTATCTACGAGTTTACAAATACCTTCAACTTTCTTCCACTCATTGGCAAAAGGTACATTACGTTGTGAAGAAAATTCTCCTGCCGACTGTAACTCTAAAGCCTCCTTTAGCCTTGTGTTGGTGAGATCCCACAGTGATGAAGATACTCCCCAACTAATTAGCTCAGAAACTTTGTCAATAATTTCAGATATTTCACCAAATGCATCCTGCACCATCAGCGTAATCAAGTCGGCACAACAATACACATGAAATAGCTGACCATTAAGTTGGAGCTGCTTCTTTTCTTGAATGAGATCTTTGGCCATATCAACTGCTTTATCATTATAACTTTTCAAGGTTATAGTGGATACCTTATTCTCAATTCCCCAACATGAAAGAGCCTTCTTCACGGCTTCTGGAAGAACAAGATTCCAAAGTATATGAAATCCGAGAATCCATTTCTTAAGTTTCCAATTTTCATCAATAAAATGTGTTGTAAGGCACAAGTATCGATAGTTGGCTACACTTCTCAGTATCTCAACTGAAAGGCTAATCTGTCCAACCAGATTTCCCAAAACATGTCTTGTTCACTCCCTCCTTCTTATAAAACTCCAAGCAATCTCCTTCAAGAGACTCAACAGTGGGAAATTGAATGAGCGGATTAAGGGTACGCAAAAGTTTTGGAAAGCATGATCATTTATGAAGTGAAGAGGTAAATCATCTGTGCAAAATAAACTTGCAAAGTCCTGCCTACCTTTCTCTTTATTTAAATCAGTTAAACCATTTTCATCATCAGAATCGTCGCTATTGCATTCACCACTGAAATTATGGACGCTCATTTCAGTATCAGGAACATCATCACAATGGCGATCTCCGGCCATATCTAACAAACAACAGTACTTTTTAAAAAAAAATTTTAAAAATTAATGGATTTAAAATGAAGGGACGTAAGCTTGGATAATATATTGGCTATTAAAGTTAAATGGCAGACATGTTTTACCATAACTATCATGCAAGTAGAATCTTAGTCCCATGGATTTCAAATAATTTTCAAATAATTTCTTGAACTTTGTTATTTGAAATCCATTCATACTAGGGTCTTGCTAAAACTTAAATTTAATTTATTAAAATTGAAATTTTAGCTATAATCTTGAGCTTGAATCCATTCATATCAAATCATTCAACCCAAATGGAGCCTCATTCCTTAGAAAGTATAACTGAACACAACTCAACAAAGCCTTTTCCCCATCTACCTAGTGTCTGTTACATAAATTCTATATTTTTTGTTTCCTCATCATATTCTTTTTTTTCATGAATTCTATCTACGTTAACTTTGATCTTCCCCTATCATATCATTACCCTCAACGTAGACCATGTTTCTGTTGAAAATAAACTCTGCTTCTCCCCACTACCAGAAGAATCTAGAAGCTGTAAGAAGATGCAAGAAGCAACATGAAGCCATGAGAAGCTTCTGGAAGCAACCACCAAAGACCACCTACCATGGATGGTGCCATGAAGCAACCATCCGGTGGAATTCAACTTGACAACTTCTACGCGTTTTCAACATGGGTTAGAAGCCTATAAATAGATTGTAGTGTATATTGTTTTAGATATGAAAATATAGAAAGAGAGGAGAAGAAAAGAGTGGCAGAGAAATTGTTCTGTATTTGTTTTGTTTTTCTTCAATGAATTGATTGTTTTATCTCTCTTTGTGGGTTAAAATGAATCACCATAAGTGATTATTTGTGAGTGATCTCTGCCACCAACAGTGGTATCAGAGCGAGGAAAAGGTGAAAAACAGAGCACCCAAGCCACCAACGCAGAAATTAAATCTATCAAAACCACATTTTGATCGCAGAAGAAGGTCCATAAGACCAAGACGAACACAACAGTGTAAAGAACATCTCCAGAAGAGGTCTCTCGCACCCGCACGTGCCACCTGAAAATCTGAGAGTAGATCTGACGCGCCTGTCACGCGTCTTCTCCGGCGAAAATCTGATGTTGGCGACATTCCGGCGATTTTTGTGGCAGTCGAGCCGAGCCGAGCCGAGCCGTCAACCGCCTGTCAACCCAAGACGAGCCAATCAACCAGAGCCAAGCCGAAAGAAAGACAAGAAGGCGTAGATGACTTAATCGAAGCCCAGAAGGTAGTGCTCAAAGAAGTCAGAAAGAAAGACAAGAAGGCGTTATATCTGCTTTATCAAAGTGTCGATGAAGCAAGTTTTGAGAAGATCTCCACCGTCAACACCTCAAAGCAAGCATGGGAAATCCTTCGTAAGGCACATCGAGGGATTGAAAAAACAATCAAAGTTCGACTCCAAGTTCTAAGTGGTGAATTTGAATTGCTACACATGAAAGACAATGAGTCAATTTCTGTATACTTCACTAAAACATTGACTATTGTTAATCAGATTAGAAGATATGGAGATAAGATTGGAGATGTTCGTGTGCTCGAAAAGATTATGCGATCTCTCAACTCAAAATTTGAGCACGTTGTTATTGCAATTGAAGAATCAAAGGATCTTGATGCAATGATAGTAGATGAGCTATTGGCCACATTAGAAATCCACAAACAGAGAATCAATAAAAAAGGTCACCTCAAGTTCCCTGGATCAAGTTCTTCAATCAAAGCTTACAACCAATGAAAATAGAGAAGAGCGATGGGGAACCTAACAAAGAGGATAAGGAAGAGACCGAGGCCGAGGTCGTGGCTATCAGGGAAAAGGTGCTGGATTCAGAGGCGACGGTGGAAGAAACAATTTCAATGGAGAAAGAAATAATAATCAAGGTGGAAGAAGTCAGCCATCAAAAGGAAGAGCTAGAGGCAAAAGAAGCAACTTCAATAATCGCTAAAGTTATGACAAAAGTAATGTGCAATGTTAGAACTGCAACAAATACGGCCACTACAATAATGAATGCAGAGGAAAGCCAACAAGTTAGCAACCGAAGTTGGAGAGCAAGTGAATTTTGCAGAGAAAGATATAAATGAGCCAAGATCACTAATAGCTCAAGATGCGCATCCTAAAGACGAGAATATATGGTTTCTAGATTCAGGAGCTAGTAATCACATGTGTGGAAAAATACACATGTTTGTCGAGCTTGACGAGACTAGGCAAGGACAAGTCTCATTTGGTGATTTCACAAAAATCTGAAAAGGTAATATTTTGATCAAGCTCAAGAATGGAGATCATAACTTCAAATCCAACATCTACTATATTCCAGATATGAAAAACAATATTTTGAGTCTAGGACAACTCTTAGAGAAAGGATACGACATCAGAATGAAGGATTTGTATCTAATCATCAGAGATACAAATGGAAATCTTATTGCTAGAATAAAGACGTCCAATAACAGAATGTTTGCTATTAACATTCAGTACGATTCAGCAAAATGTCTAAGTGTTGTTGTTAAAGACAAAGATTGGTTATGGCATTTGAGATTCGGACATCTCAATTTTGAAGGCCTGAAGTTGCTAGCAAGCAAAAATATGGTAAAAGGTTTGCCTTATATCAGTCATCCAGATGAAGTTTGTGAAAGCTACATACTTGGGAAACATCACAAACTGAGTTTTGCTAAAGAAATCAAGTGGCAAACAACAAAGCCACTGGAGCTCATTCACATAGACGTGTGTGGTCTATTGAAGCCAATGTCAAAAGGATAAAATAGGTATTTTCTTACATTCATTGATGATTATAGCAGAAAGACTTGGGTTTACTTCTTGAAGAAGAAATTAGAAGTATTCAATATCTTCCAAGAGTTTAAAGCTCTTGTCGAAAAGCAAAGTAGCTACTATATCAAGACACTATGATCAGATCAAGGAGGAGAATATATGTCGAATGTATTTCAGAACTACTGCAAAGAGCACGGCATCCGACAACAAACAACACCATCCTATACGCCACAGCTAAATGGTGTTGCAGAAAGGAAAAATCACACTATCTTAGATATAGTCGGAAGCATGTTAAAAGGAAAGTTATTACCCAAAGAATTTTAGGCTAAAGCAGTATCTTGTGTTGTTTACTTGTTGAATAGGTGTCCAACCAGAAGACTTCGATTCAAGACACCTGAAGAAGCTTGAAGAAGCTTAGAGTTCATACAAACCAAGTGTTAATCATTTCAGAATTTTTGGGTGTATTGCCTACACCAAGATCCCAGAAGCCAGAAGAACCAAGCTTGACAACGAAGGACAAAAATATATCTTTGTCGGTTATGGTGACAGAACAATGGGATATAAGTTGTTTAATCCCATCACCAAAGAAGTTATTAATACTAAAGACGTAAATTTTGAAGAAGATGAAGCTTGGAATTGGGATCAGGATGAAGCTGTTAAAAACATAGAGCTCGTTCTTGAAGAAGATGAAGAAAATGCAGCAAGAGAAGTTGCAACGGTGCCACAGATTCTTCCATACCGATCTCCCATACCTTCTGGAAATGATCCCTCATTATCATCATCAGATGAGAGTTCAGGTAAAAGACCCAAAAAAATGAGAAGCCTGAGGGAAATATATGAAGCTACTGAAATGGAGGAAGATCAGAATTTGTTATGTTTATTTCTGGATAGTGATCCTGCTAGCTTCACAGAAGCCATCCAAGAGAATAAATGGAAGACGACTATGGATGAAGAAATCAAAGCTATAGAGAAAAATGATACATGGGAGCTATCTAGTCTACCAAAAGGTCATAAGCCTATTGGAGTGAAATGGGTTTACAAGACAAAGAAGAATGAAAAAGGCGAAGTTCAAAGATATAAAGCACGCCTTGTAGCAAAGGGCTACAAACAAAGAAAAGGATTAGATTATGGTGAAGTGTTTGCTCCTGTTGCTCGACTAGAGATAATCAGACTAATGATATCTGTCGCTGCCCAAAATAGATGGAAGCTTTACCAACTCGACGTAAAGTCAGCATTTCTGAATAGATTTCTAGAAGAAGAAATCTATGTTAAACAACCGCTGGGATACGAAGAAAGCCCTCTATGGGCTAAAGCAAGCTCCAAGTGCATGGAATGCAAGAATTGATAAGTATTTCCAGGATAATGGATTCGAGAAATGTCCATACGAGCATGTTGTATACATAAAGAAAGATGTAAAAGGAGGCGTACTATTTGCATATTTGTACGTTGATGATTTAATCTTCACAGGTAACAACCCAGCTATGTTTGAAGCATTCAAAAAGACCATGATTTGAGAATTCGAAATGACAGACATTGGTCTAATGGCACACTTCCTTGGAATAGAAGTGATACAAAGAGATGAAGGAATTTTTATCTCCCAAAGTAGATATGCAAAGGAGATCCTCAAGAAGTTCAAAATGGAATCATACAATTCGGTATCAACCCCAGTAGAAAGCGGACTGGAACTCAGAAAGAATGAAGATGGAGGAAATGTTGATCCAACATACTTTAAAAGTTTAGTTGGAACTTTACGATCCCTGACTTGTACCAGACTTGATATACTCTACGGAGTTGGATTGATCAGCAAATATATAGAAAAACCAGATCAATCACATCTAGATGCTGCAAAGAGGATACTTCGCTACATCAAAAGCACAATCAATTATGGTTTGTTATTTACCTCAACTGATGAGCTTAGTCTTACTGGCTATTCAGAGAGTGGTTGGGGTAGAGATTTAGATGAAAGAAAAAGCACAACTGGATTTGTCTTTTTCATGGGAAATACAGCATTCACATGGTCATCCAAGAACTAACCTATAGTGACCCTATCTTCATGTGAAGCTGAGTACGTAGCAGCCAGCTCAACTGTGTGTCATGCTATTTGGTTAAGAAATGTGCTGAAACACTTGGGATTTCTACAAGAAAATCCTACGGAGATTTACATCGATAATCGTTCAGCAATCGCTCTAGCGAAGAATCCAGTATTTAATGAACGAAGTAAGCATATCAACACACGTTATCATTGCATCAGGGAGCATGTGCAGAACAAGGAAGTGGAATTAATATCTTACAAGACGAATGACCAAGTTGCAGATATTTTTACAAAACCATTGAAGCAAGACCTATTCAATACACCGAAGATGATGATGGGAATGCAGAAATTTAGAGAAGCAAGTTTAAAGGGGGATGTTGAAATAAACTCTGCTTCTCCCCACTACCAGAAGAATCCAGAAGCTATAAGAAGATGCAAGAAGCAACATGAAGCCATGAGAAGCTTCTGGAAGCAACCGCCAAAGACCACCGACCATGGAAGGTGCCGTGAAGCAACAATCCGGTGGAATTCAACTTGACAACTTCTACGCGTTTTCAACACAGGTTAGAAGCCTATAAATAGATTGTAGTGTATATTGTTTTAGCTATGAAAATATAGAAAGAGATAAAAGAAGAAAAAAGTGGCAGAGAAATTGTTCTGTATTTGTTTTGTTTTTCTTTAATGAATTGATTGTTTTATCTCTCTTTGTGGGTTAAAATAAATCACCATAAGCGATTATTTGTGAGTGATCTGTGCCACCAACAGTTTCCTAATGACCCGTGCATTTAGTGGCTTCCATTTCCCCTATCATCACCCTCTATCTAAGGCTCATCATACCTTTTCTTTCTTCAATTTTCAAACCCTCAAAGCATCAAGTATTTTTGTGTTCTTATGACAACCAAACTGAGGGTAAAATTAACCTCAAACAAAAAATCAAAAATCAAAAATCAAAACAATGATAAAATCAGATATTCTATAAGCGATCTAATAGGCTCAGTTCAAATGCTAAGAAAACATTAGGAAATCTGATTTTAAACCTAAAATTTCATAGCAGTTTCGGTTTCAGAATCTAAATCTTCTATTATGGTCCAGGATTTTCTCAGCAATCGAGGTAAACAAATTTAAAGGAAAAAAAAATGAAATTATAGAGCAAGTAAGAATATAACCTGGTTGGAAAGCGAGCGATCCAGAAGAGTGGTAAGATGAAATGGAACTGTACCCGCTCACAAAGAGAGAATCTAGGTTTCTTTTTGGAGTCCAACAGAGTTCTTAAGGGGATGGAATTTGGGCCCACTTCCATTTTGCGCGGGAAGATGAAATGACATGATCGGACGGCCCTAGGCAAACGATGAATAATGCTGCAATTTGGCACAACTGATATACATTGGTGTGGGCTCCATGCATTGTTGTGGAGCCCTTGGTCGATTTGAATATAATGTTTGTTTTTAATTTTCTTTTTCTAACCCTTGCGCCTCAATTGGTTAGATAAAATAACATTAAACAAAAAAATTTGAAATGAAATTTTTTAACATTTTAAAATTTTGATAGAAAGAAAAAGATTTTTTTTAATAATTTTCATAATTAAAAAGAAAAATTTTACTTTTTTAAAAATGTTATATAAAATTTTCATTTTTTTTTTTTTTTTAAATCTTGTGATTACACACAAGTACACAATTATATTCTTTTACAAATCTCATCCCTACTATCACATGGATGAAATTTAAGTTGCTGACTTGCGCAGTGGACGGGAATTTGAACCCACACTCAATACACTAGATATGATTCGTTCAGACACAAAAATGTTCGTCCTACCATCTAACTTTGTTACACATAAATGCACAACTTCTTAATGGCAAGCATGACATTCCTTTTTTCTTCATGGTCATCCAAAAAGGGCTCTCTAAAGGGAGTAGAGATCGTACCGTTAGGATTAGAGGCCCTTTTGTTCAATGCCTCCATTGTTGCCTTGCAAATTAATTCACTCATAAATTTCCAGCATTCAATGCAGGAATATGTAAACCATCTTAATTTTTGTTAAATCTTGTTATGAGGTGAGATATTCAAATATACCAAAGGTCAAGGGGGCAAATCCGTTCAATGCAGGAATTTGTAAACCATCTTAATTTTTGTTAAATCTTGTTATGAGATGAGATATTCAAATATACCAAAGGTTAAGCGGGCGAAGCCATAAATTTTGATTTTTTTTTTTTCATTTATTTATTTATTTGTGTGTGTTGGTAAAATTATGATTCTGCCCTTTTGTTTAATGCCTCCATTTTTTATTTATTTGTGTGTGTTGGTAAAATAATTAAACGGACATTAGTTAGAATACCCCCTCAACTTGAGGGGGATTTTTTGCAAAAAAAAAATTTTAAGGGGGATTATTTGCAACTGACTAATAGTCAAGGATCGTTTTTTGCAATTAGCTTAATTTGACAATTAGTTTCAAAAAGTTAACTTTGTATTTTTAAAAATATGCAAAATTAAGTAGTAAAATTTTAAAATTTTCCCATATATAACATCTTCTTCAATTTTTTTTTTTTTTTTTATTATTAAAAAAATTTAAAATTTTAGTTAACAGAGAAGTGAGTATAATTTAAGCCAGAACAATGATGAACTTGTAGCAAATCCCCCGGCACTACAAACTTCGCTAGACTTTTTCGTGTTTGATTTGGGCTGTTTGTGAGTATAATTTCAGGGTTTGGTTCTTCAACCCAGCCACCGACTTCATCATCATCACCACCGCCGCCACAACACAGCCCAGTCATTGGAATATTAATTCCTTTTAAAAAAAAAAAAAAAAAATTGATTGGAATATGAATTTGGTTTGGATTGATCTATGAATTTTGAGAATGAATCGTGTTCATTAATTTTGAGTTTGAATCATGTTCATCCAATACATGTTTGTATATTTGTATAGATGGGTTTCTGGGTTTTCATTCTTTACTGTTTTTCTTTCTCTCTTTTTTGGTTGATTTTGAAATCAACTATGGCCAAATATGGATTATTCTACGAGCTAAGTTCTTTAGATTGATTCTGTTAATTCAATATATGCATAATATAGGTGGATTTAAAGTTTTAGAGGTGGGGGTAGAAAGGTCCAACTAACTAAGGTTAAAATTGTGTTTTGAAATAATAACATATATTATTTTGTGTAAAATATACACTGCGTATGATGTGTAAATTTCTTTTTATCTCCAACTATTTCTTAAGATACACTGTGTCACCAATGTGTAAAATTCTTGTATATTTTATACAATCCTTTTAAAAAGTCACATCAGCATATTTCTTTTCTCCGTCCTCTTTCTCATTTCATTAACCAATCAACCTTATATTAAATAGGTTTATAAAAATTATGTGGAAATTATGTGGGGGTACATCAGCATATTTCCTTTCGCCTTCCTCTTTTTCATTTCATTAACCAATTAACCCTATATTAAATAAGTTTGTAAAAATTATGTGGAAATTATGTAAGGTCCAGGCATGACATTGGTCTAATGTGTAAATTTCTTTTTATCTCCAACTATTTCTTAAGATACACTGTGTCACCAATGTGTAAAATTCTTGTGTATTTTATACAATCCTTTTAAAAAGTCACATCAGCATATTTCTTTTCTCCGTCCCCTTTCTCATTTCATTAACCAATCAACCTTATATTAAATAGGTTTATAAAAATTATGTGGAAATTATGTGGGGGTACATCAGCATATTTCCTTTTGCCTTCCTTTTTTTCATTTCATTAACCAATTAACCCTATATTAAATAAGTTTGTAAAAATTATGTGGAAATTATGTAAGGTCCAGGCATGACATTGGTCTAATGTGTAAATTTCTTTTTATCTCCAACTATTTCTTAAGATACACTGTGTCACCAATGTGTAAAATTCTTGTGTATTTTATACAATCTTTTCTCCTTCCTCTTTCTCATTTGATTTACCAATCAATCCTATATAAAATAGGTTTGTAAAAATTATGTAGAAATTATGTGGGTACATCAGCATATTTCCTTTCTCCTTCTTTTTTTCTCATTTCATTAACCAATCAACCCTATATTAAATAGGTTTGTAAAAATTATATGGAAATTATGTGGGGTCCAAACATGATATTAGTTGGTTTGTATTAAAGAATATATTTTTACACAAAAGGTATAAAATAATGACTGTAACTAAAAATAAATAATCCAATTTTTTTTTTTTATGTAAATCTATTATGACACGTCAAATTAACAAATATATATATATATAATATATATAATATATATATATACACCCGGTTGGAGATATTAAAATATGAAAAATTACGTACTGAAATTTTAAATTTTTCCTATATGTAACATCTTCTTCAATTATTATTATTATTATTATTTATAAAAAAAAAAAATTAAAATTTTAGTTAATGAGAGAAGTGAGTATGAGAAAGGGGCAGATCTTAGTGTGCGCATTGTGTTACCCTAAATTCCTTAAATAAATTTAAAGCACGAAAATGGTAAGTTACTGAAGATTAAAGATTTTGTATCACACAATTTTTGGCAACTCAATTTCTTATTGATTCAGCTTCCAAAATTGTAATATACAGGAAATCACTATAATAATATATATATTCTTAATTTCTTTGGTTATTTCCTATAAAGCTCAGATCAAGAAACCCATTGTTTCTTTTCTGTATCGAAGTTGAGGAGCAGAGGCCAGAAGCCATTAAAGCTAAGGTATTTTTTCCTTTATTGTTGTTCCCCTCTTTAGTAAATAAATACTAAATAATGACTTTCTATTGCCTTTAATTTTTCAGTTAGCCCTTTCTCTCTCAATACTTAATATGTCAATTGTGTTAATTTTTCCGCATTGATTGTTGTCATATCATGCTTTCTTCATTACTTGATTATTATTATTATTATTAGCATAGAACACTGCACTCCCACCGCCATTCTCCATTTATCTCCTTAATTTCATCCTCCTCTCAAATAGTGCAACTCCCTTTATATACGCATACATACACATTGTGACAATTGATCTAAGAAGTGGGTTCTGCAAATCAAACACCACTCCCTCGATGCCATCACATTCATCTCCTGGCGTCCCCGGCCACCACGGCAACACCACCACCACCAGCCGCCTTTTCTTCTCCAACGTATGGACCGCCGTTGAGATTCTGCCCCTTAACCTACCCTGCTGGCTAAGGACCAAACCTCTCCTACTCCATAAGGTAACAAGTAAAGGAGGAGGAGGAGGAGGAGGAACCATGATGAACATGTAGCACATCGCCGGCACTACAAACTTCGTTAGATTTTTTCGCGTTTGATTTGGGCTATTTGAGTGTATAATTTCAGGGTTTGGTTCTTCAATGCAGCCACCGACTACACCGCCATCACCGCAGCACAGCCCAGTCATTGGAATATTAATTCTTTTTAAAAAAAAAAAAAAATTGATTGGAATATATGAATTTGGTTTGGATGCATCCATGAATTTTGAGAATGACTAGTGTTCATTAATTTTGAGTTTGAATCATGTTCATCCTATACGTGTATGTATATTTGTATAGGTGGGTTTCTGGGTTTTCATTCTTTACTGTTTTTCTTTTTTTCTTTTGTTTTTTTCGTTGATTTTGACATCAAGTATGGATTCGGCTACGAGTTAAGTTCTTCAGATTGATTCTGTTAGTTCATTATATGCAGCATGTATACAGATATAATTTTTATTATTATGTAGAAGTTTTACATCTACATCTTTTAAAAAATAGATATATGTATATATTGTATACCAAGTGGTTTTATTTGGTATTTATATAATTGTAACATGAATATGAATGTTTGATTTCAGCAAAATCCGAAGATGGGTCGAGCAAAATTGAAGATGGAATTGATAAGTAATGAAAAGAAGCGTCATTCGACGTTTCAGAAGAGAAACAAGGGTTTGAAGAAGAAAGCGTACGAACTATCGACACTATGTGACGTGAATGTGTGCATGATCATTTACGGTCCGAAACAGAATGAGCATCATTCCATGGAGCTGGGGATGTGGCCTTCGAATCCCCATGAGATTCAACGCATGATTGAATTGTTCAAGAATCGATCTGAGCAAGACCGTAATAGCAGGACACATGATTTGTCAGATTTTTTCGAGGACAGGACTAGGAAAGTTGAAGAAGAAGTGGAGAAACTGCGGAAAAAGAATGATAATGAAGCTAAGTATCCGAGTTGGGACCAACGGTACAACACTCTCTCGGAGGAACACTTGAGGCAATTGAGCAGTTTACTGGATGATAAGGTTGCGGTTGCCAAGGATCAGCTTGAATTAATGAAGCTAGGAAATCAAAGTTCGGAGGTGATACCAGGTGGTGGTATCATAGATTGCACTACTCCAATACAATATTCAAGCCAAACCCATCCTTATTATTTCAGGGATGATGATTTTACAAGAAACATGCACTTGAATTTTATTCATGACCAATATTCTATTTCTTCAGTGAATCCATGTCAATACTACTCCCCCATGGATCAAGCTTATTTGATGATGATGCATGATTATAATAATAGCTACTGCAATCAACTTGCGTCTAGCAGCAGCAACGCCATGCATGTTCATCTTCTTGATTCACCTACTCCCATGCCACTGCCACTGCCACTGATAGACAACATGGTAGTGAACAATCCGAGGCCAACTCCCATGCTGCACTATATGCACTACCCAATAATCTCAAGTACTGCTCCATCCCAAATGCATGCGCCAGCAGCAGCTAATTCTCAGTATTATGATCATCAAGTCGATGAATTTCAGATGAAGAATCAAAAATAAATATATATATATATATATATATCAGTAGTGGGTACGGTTTTCTATGCTTAATTAATTAGCTAGTATGTTCATCTTCAATAGTTATCTAGCAAATGACCTAACAATATATGGATGATTCTATTATAACATGTGTTTTTTACGATAATTTCAATGTGATGTGGATTCGAGTGTAATTTTGGCTCTAGGATTTTGATTTGTTTTTAGCTTTTCGTCTTATTATATACTTGTCCTTTTTATTCAAATAACTATTGTTACCTGTATTCTGGCTTGAAAATACACATACATATATATACCTATCTAAAAGATAGATAAAAAAAAAATGTACATGCAAATTAGTAAGGGACTCATAGATCAGCTTCAAGTTCAAAATTAAAAAATTGAAATTCTCGCAAATACTACTACAAGCACTTGCCATTCATTATAGGCACATCTCCTCTGTGGTGGTGGTGACTCGGAGGGCTTCACCTTTTCCGGATTTCGCTAGATTCATTCTTCAAAAGTAGTAGGGTGGGATCAACTGTGCCACACACTTTACCATTCATTCTGAAATTGGATACTCCTAATGCCACCAAAAAAGAAAAGTCAAACAACTCATCTTGAATGTTTTAAATAAATGAACATGACAATTGGTATTAAAAATATATATACTAGAGCCATCAAACAATAAAGAGCATATATTAGTTGACGATACACAAAAGCTGAATTGTAAGAAAACTTAAACGAGGTTCGTTTTCCGATGGCAGAAAAATAGTAACACAACATGCACCCTCAAGTACATTGGACTGATGAAATGCAATTGAGACCTTTCTCTCTCTCTCTCCACCGTTTCGGCCATCTTTAACTTTGTGTTCCCCATTTGCTTTTCTCTCTGCTCTCTTTCATAGGAGTGAGGAGGTGCCAATTTTTTGCCTTTCACATACTAAATAAAATGAGCATATAACAATAAGTTCTCTTTGTGGGTAGTTTTTACGTCGTTTTTGCTTTTGTTTTGCTAGATCTATTTCTATTTGGCTTGTTTTCGGCTCAACTAGGTGGATTTGTTATTTTCTCCTCGGCTATATCAGAGATTTATGTAGCTTGATTTTTTCTTTTGCAATATTTGGGTGGTTTTTCCTCTTGTTGAAAGGGCCTTGTAAATGTTGTTGCCTTGTTGATGATTTGACTTTTAGGTCACTTCCGTTGCTGCTCTTCTTTCTTGGTGGTTTCCGTTGTTGAGCTGTGACTCTTTCTCAAGTGTACTTCAATTTTTTTTTTTTTTTCCTTACATTATAGCATCCCTTAAATTTTAATTACTTTCTATAATTAGTAGTGGGCCTCAAAAGTTTCTATTCCCAAATTTTTTATTTCCTTATACTATAGCATCTTTAAATTTTTAATACTTTCTATAATTAGGCCCTAAGCATTAAAAAGATTAATGGTGGGCTCAATTTTTTTTTTTTTTTTTTTTTTAAAATCTTTTCTGAGTTTTATTTTTTTTCCTCTTTGTAATTATTCAATATATATTTAACAGTAAGTTGGGAGAAGGGTCCATATTATCCAATTTAACTTTTTTTTTATTATTATTTTTTCCTCTTATTCGTCGCTCTATATTTCACTACCTGTCAATGTGGTGTCTACATCTTCTTTATTTACAACTTTTTTTTTTTCTTTTTTTCACTCAATACTCATTAACAATTTATAATTTCATTATAAGATTTTGATCCTCTTTGTAATTATTCAATATATATTTAACAGTAAGTTGGGAGAAAGGTCCATATTCTCCAATTTAACTTTTTTATTTCTTATTTTTATTTTTTCCTCTTATTCTCGCTCTATATTTCTCTACCTGTCAATATGGTGTCTACATTTTCTCTATTTACAACTTTTTTTTCTTTTTTTCTTTTCTTCACTTAATGCTCATTAACAATTTATAATTTCATTATAAGATTTTGAACACGCTTTTAAATTTTTTCTAAATTAGCTTCTGTTAGTCTTTAACTTAAATTATTTTATAATTTTATCTATTTTTTTAATCATAAATTGTATAGTTTGTTTGTGAGTTGTGAATATTTTTATTTATATGGTTGAATATGTCTATTAGAAAATATGAAAAATTTAAGAAGAAGACAAAATTACATAAATTAATTCAATCTGAAAAAGGAGATATTTGATAAATTTGTTATTACTAAAAAAAAAAAGTGAAAATTCAACAAATAAACAACCAAATCTTTTAAAAGTAATAGTAAAAGAACTTTATATTAGCCACTTGATTCATAATGATAATTACATTTGTGATAAGAAAAATCTTTTTGAATAACAAATTTTTTGGAAGAAAGTGAAACAAGGAAAGAAAAAAAAAAAAAAAAACTTAATCAAAAGGCCACTTTTATATTTTTTGCCTAAGGCCTCAAATTACATTGAGCCGCCTGTTCTCAATTACACAACATGCAAGAGCTAAATTGTAAGAAAACTTACTAGGTTTGTTTTTGATGAAAATAAAAAATAAAAAAAAATCAAAAATCAAATAAATGCTTCATATAAATTTTGAAAAAAAAAAAAATGCAAGTGGAAATTTTAGTGATTAAAAAAAAAAAAAAATGAACTAACTAACCGGTAAGAAGGCATTAATCAGATTATTAAAATAAAAGTATACCAAAAATACCAAAACCTGCAAGTACCATTCAAGGAGAGGTATAATTTTCCTAAAATTATGAATGAAGGATGGATTGCCCACAATTCTTTAGTATTGGGCTTGGAATTCCAGGAATTGAGGGCAGGACCGACTGGTCAGTGCCAGTACAATGCAAGTAACCCCATCATCTGAAAAAATTGGTCAGTACCAACTCTATTCTCCTACACAATGGCTTCAAGGCTTCAAGCCAAAAATATTTGTTGCTTAAAACTTGTATTCAATCACAAATATGGTCTAAGTTTTTAAAGTGCTTAAAAAAAAATTTGTCACTTTTTGTGCTCCCGCTTTACGTGACTTAAAGTGGTATCTCCTCAACTTTTAAAGTAGAAGATCGAGGGTTTAAGTCTCTATATGAACAAAAGTTGATGCGTGTATTTTTTGCTTTGAAAATAATAATAATAATTATTATTATTATTGTAGGAATTGAATCTTTAAAAAGAATAAAAGGCCATTTTCTAATATTTGACTGGATATAAATCTAACCTTCAAAATTATTTGGGTAACGCAATTCTCAACATCATAACCTACCTTCTCATTCTTCACTATTTGAATTTCTACCACCATAAATAATGATCCCTAAAATGACATAAAGAATTATTTTCTACTTAAGTGAATAGCCTTTCTTTTATAATATATGTTAGCCATATTTTATTTTTTTTGAAAAATGTTATATTCCCTAGAGCAAAAGAGAGAAAATTAAATAACCTTGGTTGGTCGTCCCACCAAAGAGGTTCATGCAAGAGTTACTATGATCAATCCACCTGCTAGTCTACGATCCAACATGGCAGCAGAATCAACCCAACATTGCTCAATATCAAATATTTGTGCTAGGCTATTGACAAATCCTAATAATTATTTTTTAACAAAAATAAATGATATTTTGTTTCTCAAATTACATATATTAGTGTTTTGAATCAAGAAAATAACTTCTTCGCATGCGAAGATAAAGCTGCATACTTCCGATCCTTCTCGAATCCCGCAATAGCGAGAGTCTCATGCATCAAACTAGTCATTTTAATAGTTAATTGTGTAAATATGCTATAGATCCTCGTCCAAGATAGCTTAAAAGTTAAAAGATGATTCAGGTGCAAATAATTGTGTGTGTAGTGTGTAGAGAGAGTAAATAATTGGATCTCACTTAATTAATCTGCTCTATTCATTACAATGTTTTACCAACATTAAAATAGCAAACCAGTAAGCATCCAGATTCTATTTCAAAGAAAATAAGGCATCAGTTGAAGAAACTATTAGCATAAGTTCAACATCCATATAATTGAAGCCTATCCAATAACAAAAACACATTGATTTCCCACACTGACCACTAGACATGATTCTTGGCCAGACAATAGCTGCAACAAGAAGAGTACCATTGAGAGTTTCACCAAAATATATATATATATATATATATATATATATATATATATATATATATATATATTAGCATGATGTGTAGGATAAATTTGTCAACATCATGACCTCATTCATGATAAAACTAGAAGCATGTAGGCGAATGGAGAGAAAATAAGGTCACTGAGGTAGCATGGCTAGTCCATCAGTGCTCTCAATGCCAACTCCGAGCACACATCACGGCATTTATTACAGCTTGACGAGAGGAAACAAGACGTACATTTCTATCCTCGGTATAATATGCATCAGATGAAGTAAGAACAGAAATTGGAATCCCCAAAAGACCACGAGCCATCCTTGAGAGCGTGGGATACTTTGAACTTGCAGCTCTCCACCAACGCAAAATGTCAAAATTTTGGCACCAAGGCAAGACAGGTTCCTCCAAATACCAATCCAACTCTGACTTAGGAGACCCCTTGGTAGATTAGACAAACAAATGGAAGCCTTGTATATGACTAGAAACATCACCTGCATTGCTACATCCTCCCTCAACACGACTAGGAACCTCCTCCTTTCTTTTTTTGGTTAGAGGACCCTCTGTTTCAGAATCAGAAATCTCCTTTTCAGCATCGAAACTTGAATCACACTCATAGTCCTCTTCAATTAAGGTTGCATAATCATCATAAAAGCTATGACAATCCGAAGCTGAATCACACTCAGAGTCCTCTTTTTCAATCATTAAGGTTGTATAATCGTCGTAAATGCTATGAATGGCTTCCAAAACAGTTGACACTCGTGAGTTACTATCACCATCTTTGAGTTCCAAGGATAAATATTCAATGTACTTCATCTTACATCGTGGATCCATTACCGTAGCAACTGCCAACACCAAAAACATTATTTTCCAGTACTTATTCAACTTCTGAAGCATTTTCTCAACAACAGAACTAATAAAACCATCTGAATTTGAGGCCTCTTGAATCAAACTCACTTGAAGTTCTCGAAGATTACTAAGAACGATGCTAGCAGTTGGTTATTTTGTTTCAAATAACAATACACATGAAATAGCCACTACAACAAATTTGGGTTCTTGCCACAAGACACTTCGTGGCAAAAACTTTCAAATTTCGTGGCGAAAACCTTTTAGCCATAAGAAATAGCTCGTGGCTCAGTCGTGGAAGTAACCCCGTCACAGAATGTCAATAACTACAAATAAAAATTTTCGTCGCGAAATGTGGACTTTTTGCCACAAATTTAAACTCGTGGTAAAATACCTTCTATTGCCACGAGCTATTTCGTGGCTAAATAACGATACTTTCGTGGCAGGTAACAATCCCGATATAGGAATTAATCGTGGCTAATTCAATCATTGTGCCACGAAAATATTTATCGTGGTAAAATAGGTCTTTTCCCATGGAATTTATTCGTGACTATAAATTTAATTGTCCACGAATATATGTCGTGGCAAATACCCAAAATAGGTCACGGAGGTTTTTCGTGGCTATAATTTTAATTGCCCACGAATATATATCGTGACAACTACCCAAAATAGGCCACGAAGCTTATTCATGGCTATAATTTTAATCGACCACAAATATATGTCGTAGCTAATATCCAAAAAAGGCCACAAAATTTGGTCGTGGAAAATGTTTCCATTTTTTCAATATATTAATTTTTTTTTTTGAATTTATATATATCAATAACATATTAATATGGCACCAATTATAATATCATAACCTATAAATTATTAACATTATAAACAATATCAAAAATAAAATTTAATCACACATCAAAATGATTATGCAAATAAATAAATACTTGATATTATACAAGCCACACGAACAAAAAAAAATATTGTTTACAACATATACAATAAAGCCCATCGCGCAAAAAAAAAAAAAAAAAAAAAAAAAAAAAAAAAAAAAAAAAGAATCTTAGTATCTTGACAAAAACAAGCTAGTAATCTAAATAGAATGTTCCAGGATCTTAAACAAAAATAAGCTATAGAATCCTAAACAAAGGGTTCAAAGATCTAGACATAAATTACTTAAACCATCTTAAACAAAAAAAGCTTGAATTCTTATAGTATGAGCTCATCCAACAATCTGCAAAACCAACAATGAATAAAAACAATTAGTGCTTATATATAATAAAAAAAATTGAACCCAAAGCTAAGTTTCACCCAATTACAATAAGATTCAGAGTAAATATAGAAGGGTTGAGAAATGAAAATGTTACCAACTACATAGGTACTTTATTCTATATTTTACTAAATATTTTCATATATCCACACCACATGCCACCACAGTATAGAATTCTCTAGAATCTGTATGATACCACACATCATCAAACTTAGATTGTTGATTAATTTTATAAAAGTAAATTTTGGTCTTTTCAAGTTCAAATTTGACTATACCCGTTTTCTATGGAATTGTGTGAGAAAACCTTTTTACCCAATTCTAAATAGACATATAGTTAATTTGTTGATAGAATTATTTGCCTCATTGTTGAGTTACCAGGTTAGGTTATTAAAAAATAGTTGAACATATCATTTATCCATTACTTATTTAATGTAATTCTATTGTAGGCTTTGTAGCCCCATTAGTTTTGTCAATACCCAAGTATCTTGACTCTCCAACACCTATAAACTGGAGTAAATAATGTTTGTTCCTTGTATTTTAGGGAGACTTTCTATGCTAATTTTTTTTCAAAACCATAGAAATTAGTGCTTCATATGCCAAAATATAAACCACTTTTTTTTTTTTTTTTGGTTCTGGATTTTTAATTGTTAGTCATATACTTGTTAATACTTGTATCCTACTCATATCTCCATCAGTGGAACCCATTTCAATCTAACCTTTTAATTTCGAACTAAGTCTTGTAATTGAGTTGTCCATAGATTCTCTCTAGAAAATTTCATATTGAAGGTAAAGCTTGTACCTAAATGTTTTTCCCAGATTAAAGCAAGTTATTTCAACGTATTCAATCCAAGGAATTGATATATATATATATATATTAAAGAAAGAAAGAAATAATATATAACTATGGTCTTGATGGAAAGAGTATTGTTTGGACTCTTCAATTATATGACTTAGGCAGGTGTACAGATAAGGAAATGAAAGTACAGGGAGTGAATTAGGGACTGAAGAGGTTGAGAGAAATTCCGAGTGTTGTACGAGAATGAAGGGAAAAGAAGGAAATTAAAAGTATATCAAAGTTTTCATTTGAAAGTTGCTGTCCAGATTGAAGAGTTACTGAGCACCTGTGTTTAGAGTTTTTTTTCCTAATTATGTATTACAAGTATTTGAGGAAATCTGTGTATGTACTTTGATGATTTGCTGTAATTTGAGGTAGGACTGAATTATTTATAGCAATTAGAAATAGTCAACTGACAATTCAACTGATTGATCATAACACAACCTCTAAGGGGTTGAGAATTGGTCCAATTTTGATAACTATACATGGAAAGATAGTATTTATGTTTGTTATAAATACTTATATTTGAATGAAAATAATTCCACCCCCACTAGACAAAAGGGCATTCTTTTAACCGTAATATTTATTCAAAACAATCCCATCCTAAGCTTTAGGCTTTTTCTTAAGGGGAGGCCCAAATTTACCGTATGTATTATAACTTGATAATAGCAACCTATAAGTCTTTTCCTCCATAACAAAAATCCCAAAAGTTCAATTAAGATAATTCTAGAGACGAGTGAGGATGAAAAACAAATTGAAACATTTTGGAATCCTCACTAGAAGAGAAGAAAATGGGCACATCCAAGAAGTGAAGATGAGAAACTCTCAACAAACAACCACTTAAGAGAATGCAGAGGGAGAAAACAGGTCTTTTAACCTTAAACTCAATGGAACTCTTTCCTTTTTTTGATCAATAAGGACTATAACATTTTATGATACCAAAAATATTCACCATCAAGTGCCAGTGCCTTTCCTACTCATAACATTATCCAAAAGACTGGACCAATATAAGCTTTTAAAAATCAAGTTATATATGCATGTACACAAGGAAATCAAGTTATTTTGGGTCATTACATTAAGATACCAGTAGAGCAAAATGTAATAAATAATCATAAGGAAATCCAACATCAAGCAGCATATAATTAAAAAAAATTCTGTTTCATGTTGCCAATATAAAATTTTAATAGATCAAATCCATAAAATAACAAATGAAAAAGCACAAAACAAACAATTGATGAATACCTTGTTTGTTGATAGAATTGCAGCACTGACCAAAAAGTTACTGCGAGAGAGTGAAATCCAATGACGATAATTGGGGAATTTTACACCTTGTAATTAAATACGTAAATCATTTTTATTGTAGGGACTGCAATTTGAAAGAATGCAATATAACTTTACCTAAAATTCCCTCGCAAAAACACAAATAAGAAACCCTAATTAGGTAGAAATTCTAAAATTAGGTAGAAATTCTAAAATTTACACAAATATTATGGATACGAACCTTGTAATGAAGACTCAAATTGGTTGAGGAAAGTTGATTGTGCTTTAAATTGCTTCAAAAACAAACCCAAAATCGTCTTCAAATCCCCCTTATGAAGTATCAATTGGATTTTGTTTCAAACAGACACCATTTAAGAACACATATTTTGCCTGGACGGGGAGAATGTTGATTGGGTCTTTGTTTGAACGGAAAGGATATCTACCTAGTTGTCGGTGACCAGTTGATGGGGGACTGTTGATTGGATCTTTGTTTGAATGGAAATGATATGTAAGAGGTGTGATAAACAGAGGATAATTGGGAGGGTTATGAGAGAGAAATGGGGAGAGGGGAAGCTGAATGGGGGGTATTCAATCTACAGGCGGTAAAAAAATTACTTGAGCGGGATATATTTTCAGTCTTTTGAAACAAAATTAAATTTGTTAGAGTAATTTGGAGCGCGGTATATTTGGTGGGCGGGAATTTTTCTGTTTTTAGAATTAATTGATTTTTATGGTTAAAAAATTATTTAAATAAAATAAATTTATATATTTATGTTATAATTGGCGAGATAACTATGGCACTGTGCATTTTACAATAAAAATTTTAAAAAAAATTAATTATGTAACTATTTTTAGTTAAATATAATAAAGAAAGAATGAGAAATTCATGTCGTTTAGCATCCCAAGAATGAAACCACTTTTGTTGTTTTCTTTCTCAATATATTTTGTGTTTTAAAATATATATGTATACATATATATATATATATATAAACCAAATTAGAAGTATTTTTAGTCCAATTTTTTGAAAAAAAAATTATAAAATATTTTAAGCTATTTAAATAATTAAAATATTATGTTAAATAGTGTGATATGAACTATAAATATCATATAAATCAAATTAATTTTCATATATTTAAGTAAATTAATTTAAATAAAAAATTATAAACTCTAAATATACATAATCTTATTTTTAATATATTTAATTTTAAAAATTAGATTGCATATATAATGGGTAATTTGATAGAAGATATAAATTTTTGGAAAAGACAAATATCTAAAAAATAAAAATAAAAATCATGTTTAAAATTATTTGAAGTATCAATAAGTGTGTTTATACTATACACACTAATTGATAAATGAATTAAGAATACATCAAACATAAGTAATGAAATACATAACAAGAATTAATCAATAGATAGATAGATGATATTTTACGAATAGGCTCACGGCCTTATGCACAAAAGTATCACACTACGTTTTTACAATATACCTAAAAGTAATCATCTAGATGCTTTATATATAAGATAATGCTTCAATCCTGCCCATTAAGACAAATTGTGTCGTGTACACTAACGTGTCCCAATAAGAGGTTGACACTTCTTTTAAACTTAAAAAGATACAAAACATAAGTCATACCCATTTTTTAGGGTTAAATCTGATAAATCTATTTTTTTCCTCTCTTTGCTCCCATTTGTGTATCTCACTTCATCTGCATTTTTTTTCGGCTCAAAATCCCGCTTGAGACTTTACCAATCCTACTATGGCACCTCCTTATGGGTGGAGAACAAACCGGTATAAGAAGCATACCGCTTCTAATCTTCTTACTAAGAGAACAATCCTCTCTTAGATTTCTACTGGATCACACCAATCCTTACAATTGATTGTAGATAAAAATTTGTTGTACAAGAATATATCTCTCAAAGATTGATATGCAAATCAAAGTTCACAACTAGAGTATAAATGAATACAAATGAAGCTCAATACTCTATGAATGATATGTATGAGAGGATGAATAAGATGAATAACAAAAGTTCTTTGATACTCAATAAGGTTTCTCCATTTCTCTCCAATGCATCCCCACAATGTCCAAAACATTGTGTATTTATAACTCCTTGAAAAATATAGCCGTTAGGGGTAAATTCATTTTCCAAATTTGAAATTTTAGTCCATTTAATCGGTCACATGAGTTATCTGCTGGTCTAAAGTGGTCGGATATATGTTATATCTGTTCGAATAGATGGAGCATCTGATCGGTTAGATTATGAAGTGATTGGTAGGATCAGATCCTGTTTCATCGCGCATTCTAAAATTTGATCCATCCGATCGGTTACATAAAGCATCTAATCAACTACTTGGACACATCTGATCGGTTACATTGGTGAACTGATCGAATAATTAATAAACCACAAAAGATGCGAGTTCATTGGTTTTGGCATCCTATCAATAGTATGATTTGTCTGATCGGCCAAATGAAAAATAAATAAATTTTCTGTTTTAGTTATCTGATAGATAGCATGGGCTGTTACTTCTGAATACCTTATTTTCATTGAAAACATTTAAGTAAATAAGGAAGTACCTCATATTTGGATTCAATAAAAATACAAGAAAATTAAAATCAAACTAAATCAAAATGTAAAAATTCAGTTTTAGTACAAATTGGGGTTCCCGAAAGTTTTGGTAAAACTTGATCCTCCGTGTAGGCCTATGTAGAATTGATGAAAAAATCACATAAAATTAGTATAGGCTATTTAAAGTGTAAGGAGTAATTTTCGAAAAAAATTATTTTGAAAATATCTTTATTTAAAAAAAAAATCATATTTTCCATTCTCAGCCAAAACACCAAAAAACAGTTTTTCATGAGAAATGCCTAGATCATAAAGTCATTTACCAAGTTATGGTAACAAAGGCTTTGTGGATGCAAAAGTAAGTTCAATGCCTTAGACTCTACTTTCTAGAGACCAAAATGAAACATATGATTGGTATGCATGGTCTTAGCACTAGCTCAAGTATATTGAGTTCTTTCAAAACTTATGCAAACTTGAACTAACTCATTCTTTTAGCAATGACTTCATGTGTCTATTACTAGTGGATATAGGAACATGCATTTGAATGATGATATGATATGTATGGTCCTGTACAGATGAGCTTCAAATGGATTTATAAATACTTTGACATTGAATCTTAAACACTCACCATACTATCTACCCCTTTCTTCAAGTTTTGTCCATATATGATTGTTTAGGCTTTGAGGTATTCTTACATTCTTTCAATTTCTTTGAGTTGTTTGTTTGCTCATTAATTGTAATCCAAGCTATCTTTGGATGGACTTGCATTTGATTCCTTGCAACTTCATGTCTCTTTGTATCCATTCTTTTCCATTGATGTAATCGCTTCATTGAGGTTATATTTTGAAGACGAATCATCTATAACACTCAATGTATATAATTAAACATTAGTCCACAAGCACCATTAATAGTTTGTAATCATCAAAATTGCTAGATTGTCCTTGGTCAAAAGCTTTGTGCCAACAAAATTCTACGTACTTTTAAAATCTTTTATTCCATTTAATTCCCAAATCACTAAATCTTTTATTTTTACCCTTACTAAATAGAAGTAAAATTTTGTAGTTGTAAATTTATTCAAGATTTGATATATTATCTGTATTTTTTTATTATATCCTTAATTTTTAATTACTTACAAATATTATATTATGGATTTATATATATATATATATATATATATATATATATATATATGTATATTTATATATATATATATATATAATGATTAATTTAAATTCAATATAAGAATGTTTGGTACATTTTTTTTTAATCTTTTATGTATGACAAGTAGTGGTATTTAAAAATAGTCAAATTTAAAGGAAATGCCACTTTAAATTTTTACTAACAATTAATTAATTAATTTGCTTAGGAATTTGGTGTTCTAGGCCTCTTATTTAAGGAATTACAAAGACTAAATAAATAAATAAATAATAATAGTCAACAAAGATATCTTAATTGCCACGATAACAAATTAGTTACAAAATGCCATTTCGCCACAAATGATTGAAAATTTGTGGCAAAATAGTTCCTAATTGCCATGAAAACAAATTCGTTGTAAAAATGACATTTCGCCACAAGTATTGAAAATTTGTCATCGTAGCAAATAACTAATAGATTTGGCACGAAAATAGTTACGTGGCAATAAAGCTTATCATAGCCACAACTTATAATTCATGGCAGGATCCATCTTTTAGCCACGAGAAAAAAATTTCGTGCCAAAAAATTATATTTGCCACAAGAATAGCATCATGGCAAATTGTAAAGTGATTTGCCACGAAAATATATATGTGGCAAAAGAAACATAAAATTGCCACGAATAGAAATTCGTGGCACAAATAGCATTTTGCCACAACTTTGTATGTCGTCCCTAATTCGTCATGGCAAAATTGACATTTTACCACAAATTTTTAGGCCGTCCCTAATATTCGTGGCAAGAACTAGTAAAAATTTACTCTGTGGCAAACACTCATATATTAGCCACAACAAATTAATTTTGTGACCAAAAGATACTTTTTGCCACAAAATTTTACGCGTGGCAAAAAATTTCGTGGCAACAGCCTAAATTTGTTGTAGTGAGCTGACCATTAGCCTTGTGTTGGTGAGATCCCACAGTGATGAAGATACTCCCCAACTAATTAGCTCAGAAACTTTGTCAATAATTTCAGATATTTCACCAAATGCATCCTGCAACATCATCGTAATCAAGTCGGCACAACAATACACATGAAATAGCTGACCATTAAGTTGGAGCTACTTCTTTTCTTGAATGAGATCTTTGACCATATCAACTGTTTTATCATTATAACTTTTTAAGGTTATAGTGGATACCTTATTCTCGATTCCCCAGCATGAAAGAGCCTTCTTTATGGCTTCTGGAAGAACAAGATTCCAAAGACAATGAAATCTAAGAATCCATTTCTTAAGTTTCCAATTTTCATCAATAAAATGTGCTGTAAGGCACAAGTATCGATAGTTGGCTGGACTTCTCAGTATCTCAACTGAAAGGCTAATCTGTCCAACCAGATTTCCCAAAACATGTCTAATCTTCACTCCCTCCTTCTTATAAAACTCCAAGCAATCTCCTTCAAGAGACTCAACAGTCGGAAATTGAATGAGCGGATTAAGGGTACGCAAAAAGTTTTGGAAAGAATGATCATTTATGAAGTGAAGAGGTAAATCATTTGTGCAAAATAACCTTGCAAATTCCTGCCTACCTTTCTCTTTATTGTAATCAGTTAAACCATTTTCATCACCAGAATCATCGCTGTTGCATTCACCACTGAAATTATAGACGCTCATTTCAGTATCAGGAACATCATCACAATGGTGATCTCCGGCCATATCTGACAAACAACAGTACTTTTAAAAAAATAATAATAATAAAAAATTAATGGATTTAAAATGAAGGGACGTAAGCTTGGATAATATATTGGCTATTGAAGTTAAATGGCAAACATGTTTTACCATAACTATCGTGCAAGTAGAATCTTAGTCCCATGGATTTCAAATAATTTTCAAAAAATTTCTTGAACTTTGTTATTTGAAA